GAATCCTGTTCTTGTGTTGCTATTTTGTAAAGACGTGTACATTTAAAATGGAGTTTAAAATTTTCTAACAATTTTACTGCTTAGTTTGCCAGTGACAATCGCTTGATGAGACCATTCTGTTAATTAGCCATACAGGAACAACAGTCTGTGCCATCTGTAGGACGCACTGCAGCAGTTCACCATCGCTCCGGCGACACCACCCTCCAAACAATAACCTCAACCATCTAGAAGGGCGAAGGCAGCCGATGCATGGGAATTTCAGTACCCGCAAGATCCCTTGTGGGCCACACACCAACCTGACTTGGAACTGCATCAGCATTCCTTCACATTCGCTAGGTCAAAATCCCCGCAACTCCCTCCTTAATGCCACTAAGGGTGGAGCGGCACCTCAAGGAGTTTGAGAGGCAGCTCACCACCACCTCCAGGGTAATTGGGGATTGACAATAAATGCCAGCCTAACCAGTAAAGCCCACGTCCTATGAATGAATAATAACGCACTTGGATGGAGCTCCACCATTGTATTTGGTGTTACTGAGTTTGAGACCCCAGCTTGCAAACACATCCTGGCTGAACTCTCTGGCAATATGTTTGTCATAGATGTTTTTCCACATCCCTTAAATCTACTCGAGTTTTCCAGTGGGCAAAATGGGTATACAACTTTTTTTCCCAAGGGATATTCTTAGAGCAAGCGCTCTTCTCCAGATTCCTGTCCTGCTAATTCCTTTAGCAAAGCGCAATTGTGTGACAGTTAGACAAGAACAAAATGGAGCTCAAATGCAGTGGAATAGCTTGCAATGTTACTCAGTAGCCCCGTCTTCACAAACATGAACACCAGCCAGCTCCCTCCCTCCTTCAGCTCATTTGAGTGCTGAAACCGTGGTCTGTTCTAGACCAATCCTAGCCATGTGCCCACTGCCTTCCCTACAGAAGGTTATCCAAAACTCATCCTAACTCGAACCAAGACTCCTGTTCCCTTCACACCATACCATTCCCCACGCCACCCTCACCCTGTGCTCACTGACCTACATTGGATCCCAGTCAAGCAACATAGAATCGTAGAGTCATAATAGCGCAGAAACAGATCCTTTGGTCCTACCAGTCCACACTAACCATGTTCCCAAATTAAACTAGTCCCACCTGCCTGCCCCCGGACCATATCTCTCCAAACCCTTTCCTATTCATGTACTTATCTAAACATCTTTTGAACATTCTAACTGTAGTCACATGCACCACTTCCTCAGGAAGTTCATTCCACACATGAACCACTCTCTGTGTACAAAAATTGTCTTTCATGTCATTTTTTAAACCATTCTCCTCTCACCTTAAAAATATGCCCCCCTAGTCTTGAAATCCCCCACCCTAGGGAAAAGACACCTGCCATTCACCTAATCTGTACATTTCATGATTTTATAAACCTCTATAAGGTCACTTCTCAACCTCCTACGCACCAATGAAAAAAGTCCCAGCCTATCCGACCTCTTAACTCAAACCCTCTATTCCTGGCAATAATCCAAAAAATCTTTGTCACCTCTTCAAAAAACTCAAATCAGTTAGAAGATATGAATTCCCAAGCACTGTTGACTATCCATAAGCAGTTCTTGCCTTCCCAAACATATACAAATCCTGTCCCTCAGAATTCCGTCCAAGTTACCCACCCCTGACATCAGATATTTTGATTTTAAAGTTCTTATCCCAATTTTCAACTCCTTTCTTCCTCCCTTAATCTGCCTCCATTCCTATAAACTTCACAGATGTCTGCACTTGGCTAAATTTGATCTCTTGGACAGCTCTACCTTCAAAACCTTTATCACTTCCAATCATACCTTCAGCTGTCTGGAATCTACTCTTTTACACTGAAAGTAAAGCTCCCTCTGCACTATCCCCATCAAACACTCCCAGGACAGGGACGGCACAGGGTTAGATACAGAGTAAAGCTCCCTCTACACTGACCCCATCAAACACTCCCAGGAGAGGGATGGCACAAGGTTAGATACAGGGTAAAGTTACCTCTACACTGGACCCATCAAACAGTCCCAGGAGAGGGATGGCCAAAGGTTAGATACAGGGAAAAACCTTCCTCTACAGTGGACCCATCAAACAGTCCCAGGAGAGGGATGGCCAAAGGTTAGATACAGGGAAAAACCTTCCTCTACACTGGCCCCATCAAACACTCCCAGGGCTGTGACAGGACAGGGTTAGAGGCAGGGTAAAGCTTCCTCTACACTATCCCCATGAAACACTGCAGAGCGTCCATCTGGCGTCTAAGCTCTGGAATTTCCTCTCTGTACTTCGGGTTCCTCCTTTGAGACATACATACCTTATTGACTGCGATTTTGGCCATTTGCTCTAATAGCTCTATAAGGGGTCCTGGGTAGGAGTTTACTTTAAAACATGGTCAGTGAAGCAACTTGGGATGGTTTATGCACCAGAGGTATATAAATGCAAGTTGCTCTAACTATAAAGTTTAGAATGGTGCTCGGCTGCGGCACAATATCACAGTGCAAGTTTGCCAGTTCTTGTGCATAGACAGTAGGATGGAATACCTAGCCGTCAGGAGGTGGAATTTTTTTTAAAAAGGCCCTATCACCTGAGAACAGAATCAAGAAGAAAATTTAGCAACAAAATTTAGCTGTCCACCCTAATTAGATCATTATTTCGTCATTGTGGAATTTCCCCACTGTCTGTTACAATTTGTCACCGACCATAAACAATTTCCTGTAAACACATTTAATTGCTTCATCTGTGTTGGATTTATGAAGCTACTCCTCGCAAACAACTTTTCTCCGTGTTTGGAAGTGTTACAACTCCTCATTTCACAGATACAAGTCGCTCACTCCGATTCCTCCCTTCAGCATTCCAACTTTCCATTCTCCTCTCAATGCAGAGCTTGCAACCGTTAATTATTTTTGCTGGAAAGCAGAGAGGTGTCAAAACTTGCAAAGATACCTCACCGCGATCAAACAGAGATTTGCTCTTCTTAACCTCTCACGACATCCTAAAACACGAGTCGAACCGTATTTAATCGAGAGAAGCAAACAAAATATATTTTAAAAAAAAATACAGGCCACTTTAACAATCTGCCGTTTGGCAATAGCTCAGACTATTAAAACCTGCTGCCAACTTCCAGTAATATATTGGCAATTTGTCTCCTAATTCTCAAAAAAGCACGACTTGCTTCCAAGATAAAAACATTGTTGTTTTTGGTTGATTGATTGATTTATTGTTGGCACATGTGCCAAAATACGATGAGACGTGTGCTAAATTGAGCTTTGTATGGTACATCGGAGTAGCACGCTCTCCTTAGATGGAGGTTTGACAGGGGTTCAAAATCTCGAATATTGACTGTACCAAAATCAAAAGCTATAGTTGCCATAGGCCCATAACGCTGTGCTCTCCTCAGACACATTCAGAAACGGGGGAGGGGGGTGAAAGAGAGAGAAACAGACAGGGGGAAAGAGAGAAATAAAAAAGAAAAAGGAACAAAACAGACGGGGAGAGAGAGACAGAGATGGGGTTTAGGGAAGAGAGAGGGAGGTTTAGGGAAGAGAGAGAGAGGGACAGAGACACACAACGGGTGGTGGTTTAATCAGAGGGTAGGTACCACGCTTAAGGTGAAGGAAGAGTTTGAAAACGTGGGGCTATCATGGTAACCTCAGGCAGAGCAGGGTTTGAACCCACGCTGTTGGCGTCACTCTGCATCATAAACAAAACCGAGAAAGGAGACCACTTGCAGAGCCAGAAGGAACACTGGATTTTCATTAGAGATAACAAGATGTAGAGCTGGATGAACACAGCAGGCCAAGCAGCATCAGAGGAGCAGGAAGGCTGACGTTTCGGGTCTGGACCCTTCTCCCTACTATCCCTGGATTTAAATATGGACCCAGCCAGCCATTGCCTTCTGCAGGATAGCTGACTGGAATACCCTTCCTCTCTCTCCGCCTGCCATCCAGTGAATTGGAAAGATTTACAGGCTGACATGTATCCTGCTTGACCCCTGCATTAGCCCAGCCACTGTGCTTAACGAAACTGGAATTTAAAGGTAGTCCTACTTTTGGGGTCACCAGTGGGACATGGTGAAATAAGGTCTTATACAAAAGAGTGAAATCCTGCAGACTTTCAAAAATCTGAAACAAATACAGAGAGGGATGGCACAGTGGTTAGCACTGCTGCCTCACAGCACCAGCGAACCAGGTTCCATTCCACCCTTGGGTGATTGTCTGTGTGGGTTTCCTCCCACAGCCCAAAGATGTGCCAGTTAGGGTGGATTGGGCATGATAAATTGCCCCTAATGTCCACCTAGCCTACACATCCCTGGACTAGCCATGGGAAATGCAGGGTCACAGGGATGGTGGGGGTCTGGGTGGGATGCTCTTCAAAGGGTCAGTGTGGATTCGATGGGCCGAATGGCCTGCATCCACACTGTGGGCATTCTTTGCAGGCTAGAGATACTCAGCTGGGGTTTGGCAGCAACTGTGGAGAGGAAACACTGAACATGGAGTCCATAACAACTCTTCTTCAGAAGGCTTATTTGAATAAGGGTCATATCAGACCCAGAACGTTAATTCTCTCTCTTCACAGATGCTCCCATTGCTGCTGAGCTTCTCCAGCATTCCCCTCTTCTCTCTTACACAACCAATGGCCAATTAGTTGAATACACTGGAGAGCTTATAATGTCTGGCTTATGGGCTGCTGCTGTGACATTTTGGATAAACTGAAGCAGATCGAATCAAAACACCTTCCAGCAGCCGAATTTTCCTTTCAGGATTGACTATATTTTAAACCCGACCACGTTATTGAAATGTATCCAGACTGCAAAGGCAGCTGGGAGGTAACAATCTGTGATTTAAAATGTAAGAAACCAAGTTTAGGCCTGATGTAATAATAAGAAAAATAATTAAACTTCACTCTCTACCTTACTCTGCAACTGAATAAAAGCATTCCCAAGTGAACCAAAAACAAATAGCCTTTATATAGAATATTATAAAGAAATTCAAACAATATTAAGATTTGCTTTTATTTTAAGGAAAAAGAGTAATAAATATGTTTTAAGCTTACATTCTCTGGACATAATACAGCACAGCCGTAATACATATATATTTTTTAAAAATATACATTCCAAAAGAGATCATGTTAGTTTACAAATGAAGGTTCACAGGAAGGGAAAGCTGCACATTTCCCCCATCAGACTGAACTTCTCAATACACAACGGCACCTTGCTCTGAACTCAACATGTGAGAAAGATACCATTTGGTCAGTCAAAAGATTTTTTTTTTTTAAAAATAAGATCTGGTACACAGTTTGTTCTAACACTTGGTGTCCCTATAAATAACAGAGGGACACTTGGAATATTTGTGGACTATTCTGTTGGGGAAAAAAAAAGAACACAGGCTCAGAACTCAATCCAGACCCTCCAGGATTAGTTTCCAGGCCTGATAAAGATACTTATAGTGAAAACAAAAGCTAGTGAATGGTTTCTCTCTCAATGTGGCAGCATACTCATTGTGAAATCAGATTTATAAGTACACAGTAGATGCTCCTTCTCTAACAAGTTATATTTTCATTGGTCTAACACATAGCTCCCACAAGCTTACTCTCGCCACTGCCAAGCCCCATTCTCCTCCTCCGCTCTCTACAGTGCATCCCTCCTCATTATGTTTAGGATCTCACGTTCCATCACAGCTAGCTCCCTCCCTCCGCCATTTCGTCCCACCCCAATCACTTTGGTTCCCATCTTTCCAGCTAGCCCCAACCCCCAACTGCCTCGTTCCTGGTTGGTCACCAACTCTACTCCAGCCATGATACGAAGCAGCAGACTCATAGCAGAGCACCACCCACTGGTGCCAGCTCAGACTCGCTTCCCGGGGCAGAGCAACAGTCAATGCCCAAAGTCACACTTGGCTGGGGACAAAAAAAAAAGGAACAACAATGCAACAATACAAACGAAATATAAAACACAAATCAATCAATCAAGTTCAGCAAGAAAGTCAAGAGTCAAAATATCTTCAGTGCATCTTGTCAGGTCACAATTGAATCAAGTTCATTGCAGTGACCTTCGCAGGGTTAAAGGTGCAGAGAATACAAAGCAGCACTCCCCCATCTTCCATTTCTCCATGACCATCAATCCCATTGGGTTGAGTGGCTAGTCTCTCTCAACTCCGAGATGTGCACACAGTCTTCCTTCTCTCTTCTGGAGGGAATCCCAGGATGTTGGGTGGGGGGGCCAAGACAGAGAACCACATCCTTCAGCGTCTGCAAAATGCGGCCACTGTCTGTCTGTAGGTGCTGGAGCAATAATGGTTTGAGCGAAGATAAAGGCCACACAGTTAAGTCAGTCAACGCCCCTCCTTCTCTGGTGGTCCAGACCATCCACGAATAAAGACAGCTGTTTTCCCCCCAAACTTAACACATGCTGACATAAAAGTCCATTCTGCAAATAGAGATGGTTGGACGGCGGTGGGGGGACGGAAGTTGGAAAGGGGCTACAGAAAATACAGTTGAGGTACAACAGCAACACGACAGGCAGCGTACAGACCAGGCAATGCATTTGGAGAAGATGAGCATGGCATGAAGCAGGACTTTTTTTTCCACAATAGCTGGCCTTGGAAAATCTTTGCACCCTTCACTTTCTCTGTAACAGATAATAAATCGTCACCAGTTACGACGAGTTGAAGAATATCTGAACAGATAAAGGCAAATGTAAAAAAAAAAAAAAAGAGCTCTGCATCTAGGATTAGAGACCACTACATTATTATCTGTTATAGAAGAGAAGGCCGAAGGGTAGAATGGGGCGTGTGGGGGTGGGGGGCGGGTCCGATGGAGGTGTATAAGGGGCATGGACAGGGTGGATTGGAAACAGCTGTTCCCCTTAACTGAAGGGGATATGATTTTAGTCTGACGGGCAGGAGGTTTAGAGGGGATTTGAGGAAAATTTGTTTGCCATCCAGAGGGTGATGGGGCTCTGTAACACACACCCTGAGAGGGTATTTGAGGCTGGAAACCTCTCAACCTTTTAAACCCACTTGGATGAGCACCTGAAATACACTAACATTCAAGGTTATGGACCAAGTGCTGGAAAGTGGGATTAGCACAGATAGGGTGGCACACACTCGATGGGCTGAAGGGCCTCTTTTGTGCTGTATGACTCTGGTTAGCACTGCTGCCTCGCAGCACCAGGGACCCGGGTTCAATTCCAGCCTCAAGTGACTGTGTGTGGAGTTTGCACGTTCTGTGTCTGTGCATGTTTCCTCCAGGGGCTCCGGTTTCCTCCCAGAGTCCAAAGACATGCAGCTTAGGGTGGACTGGCCATGCTGAATTGCCCCATGGCGTCCTGGGATATGCAGGACATGTGGGTTGGCTATGGAAATGCAGAGTTACGGGCATAGGATAGGGAGTGGGTCTGGACGGGATGCTATTTGGAGGGTCAGTGTGGACTCAATGAGGCTGAATGGCCAGCCTCAACACCACAGGGATTCTAAGACATTTATTACACCAATGCAGACTTTATATTGGTCTTTGCACCTCATTCCCACCACTAGCACAGCCTTCAGCCTCAGAATTCAACAATCTCACATCAGAACCATGACTCAGGCCTTTTTTTTGTTGCCATTCACACCTCTGTAACCAATCTTTATTTTTGTTCACTAGCCCCTGCAGCATTCACTTATTCGCCATTTGATTATGGCAGTTTGATCTACGCTCACTGAGCCCGATTGGTTATGCCTGGGTGCAGATTGACAGCAAAGTGAAAGTTCTGAGGAAGGGTCACCGGACCCGAAACATTAACTCTGATATTTTCTTCACAGATGCTGCCAGACCTGCTGAGATTTTCCAGCAACTTTGTGCAAAGCGAACAGATTCCAGTGTAACCCAGCTGCCAATAGGAGATCAGACATTGCAACTGTGGAGCTGTTTTAAAACTCTTGAAAGTAAAATCTGTGGCAGACTCAAAAAAAAAAATCATCTTTCCATGACTTGGAAGTTAATCAAGCCAAGAAACAGGCCCATAAAAAACTATTGTGGTGCTGCGACAGTGCCCCTACCTCTCAGCCAGGAGACTTGGATTCAAGTCCCCACCTGCTCCAGGGGTGCACCATAACATCCCTGAACGGGTCAATTAGAAAATAAAAGCAAAAAAAATGCTGCAAGTGCTGGAAATCTGAAATAGATACAAAATGCTGGAAAGACTCAGCTGGTTTGGCTGCATCTGTGGAGACAGAAACAGAGTTAATATCTCGAATGCAGTATGACACTTTTCAGAATTTGGAGGACGTTTTCAAAAAGAATTATTTTTCATACTTCCAGTTCTGGAGAAGGGTCAAACCAGACTTGAAACGCTAACACTATTTGTATGTGTGGAAAGGGAAACTGACTAGAGTAGAAAATATTCAGAAAAGTACTTCATTGGGTGTAAAATGCTGATATGTCACGAAAGGTGCTGAAAACAGGCTCATTTCATCTGTTCGCCTTGAACCTTCTTCCCTTCTGTCATTTAATCTCCCTCTGACTTTCACTGTCATTAGCCCTTCCCTTTTGCCTCCTCCTTCATTCCCTCAGCTGTTACATCTCAGAACTGCTCCAACACAGACCGAGAGAGGCAGGCACAGAGAAGAAGAGACACAGATTGTCTTTTCCCGAGAATGGGGGATTTCAAGACTAGGAGGCACAATTGTAAGGCGAGAGGAAAAAGATTTTAAAAAAGACACGCGGGGCAAGTTTTGTTCTTACACAGCGAGTGGCTCATGTGTGGAATGAACTGCCGAGGGATGTAGTGGATGTGGGTACAATTACAACATTTAAAAGGTATTTGGATAAGTATATGAATAGGAAAGGTTTGGAGGGATATGGGCCAGGAGCAGGCAGGTGGGATTGGTTTAGTTTGGGATTATGTTCGGCATGGACTGGTTGGACCAAAGGGTCTATTTCTGTGCTGTATCACACAAAAACACACAATTCCCAGCGTCCTTCTGTTTGATTCCAGATTTCTAGTGAGTGCAGAGTTTTGATTCCATCTGAAAACAAATTAATCCCTGCAGTCATGTATGAACCAGCAGGTGGGAGCCATTTGCATTTTGAGTCAGAGGCAAACAGCAGCAATGCAATGAAAGGGATCGCTGGCTCCATTTCAGTCATATGTGGAGGGGCCTAAGTGACAGAAAGACAGCCCTTTAACACAACTGAACTAACAGAGGCACAAGTCCCTAACACACAGAGGCATGCAGGTCATCAGTGCCAGCAAACAGGCTGAGGAGGCCATTTCGCCCCTTGATCTCATCATTCCAGAGATCATAGCTGACATACATCTTCCCACAATTGGGAGGGTTGACCCAATCTAGTGATGCTGCTAAGTCTTGATGCACTGTACCAGCCCCACCAACACACTAGGCACAGGTTTCATTGATGCAGGCGATGGGAAACCAAAAAAAAAAACCCTGAGACACAGGAGGAAACTGAAACTTGCCAAGGAGTTCCACAATGGATCCCAACGGTGAGCAACATTCTTTCTTTTTTTCTCCTGCGAGGATAAACGTGGCACAATTCTGGGCTGCATGTTAATTCAGACCACACTAGAGGAAATTACAGTTATTTAGATGGGAGGGGGGAGTGGGGTGGTTGGTGAAGGAAGAGAGGTCACGATTCAGCACCCCACCTCCTCAACTCCCAATCCCTTGACAGTCAGTAGCGTTGAAGAATAAGGGCAAGTGTAGCACCCAGCTACATTTACACAGACTAGTGTTGTTAAATCAGGTTTTGCTGAGCTCGGAAGTGGCACTTTTACAGTGCCATTGCTGAAAACAGAGAACTGGCAGCTTGCCCACAGTGACAAGGCCTGGCATTACTCCTTACTTTCTTTGTAGAACTTTGCAACTTTAAACCATTCAGCAAACTCTTTCAGACCCCGGCTGAGAGAACACATTCACAGTACTGGATCCCATGACTCAGTCCTATTGCTGTGGTTGCCAAGGGACAGGACAGCTGCGTTACGGAGGGCGACTGCATACCAATTTGTAAAGCAACAAGATAAAGCCCTATCAGTGAACCCTTTGATGCTGGCTTTAACAGGTTACAAATAGCAAATTGGCTACATTCATAGATGAGTAATCCAGAGCTTGAGCTAATAATTTACAGACACAATTCCAAATCCCACCACAGCAACCAAGATAACGCAGTGTGCGGCTGGAGGAACACAGCAGGCCAGGCAGCATCAGAGGAGCAGGAAAGCTGATGTTTCGGGTCAGGACCATGAAAATTTTCTGAAGAAGGGTCCCAACCCAAAATGGCAGCTTTCCTGCTCCTCGGACGCTGCCTGGCCTGCTGTGTTCCTCCATCTCCACACTCAGACTCCAGCATCAGCAGTTCTTACCATCTCACAGCAATTGGGATTCAATTAACGTCGCCTCAAAACTACTGGACCATTACTTAAAAAGCCTATAATTTTCCATCAATGATCTTTAGGGAAGGAATCTGTCAGTCATTCTTACCCAGTCTAGCCTATACGGTTGACTTTCAACAGCCCTTCAAAATGGCCTAGTGAACCCTCAATCCGTTCTATGCTACTCTCAAGGGTGGTTTCGAATGAGCAACAAATGCTGTTGCCAGCGATGCCCCACATGTCAGAAATGAGTAAAACACTTCCTTCCCAAGAATAGTCAAAGGACTGGTAATAAAATACTGGACTGGAGCACAGGGTCCATGTCCCAAGAATATAATCTCATCCAACCTCTTCCGTTGGGCAGAAGATACAAAAGCTTAAATACACATACCAATAGATTCAAGAACAACTTCTTGCCCCGTTGTTATTTGACTTGAATGGCCCTCAAATTTTATATTGAACGTTGATCTCACTCTTTGTGCACCTTCTCTGCAGCCGTAACATTGTATTCCTCGCTCTGTTCTATCACCCTAAAGCTCTTTGTCTGGCATGATCTGACTACCGCTCGCAAAACAAAACACTTTTCACTGTACCTAGGTACATGTGACATTAATAAATCAAAACAAATCAAGAATTGATCAAGATGAAATAAATCACAACCTGCTCCTGGATTCTAGGTCATCATGCTTTCAAGGAAAACAAAACTCACCTCCCGGTTCCTTTCCAAAGCTCTCCCTCTCCTATGCCTCGAGAACCTCCTCTCTGGGGAATGACAATGGATCCATTTCAGTCATATGTGGAGGGGCCTAAGTGACAGAAAGACAGCCCTTTAACACAACTGAACTAACAGAGGCACAAGTCCCTAACACACAGAGGCATGCAGGTCATCAGTGCCAGTAAACAGGCTGAGGAGGCCATTTCGCCCCTTGATCTCATCATTCCAGAGATCATAGCTGACATACATCTTCCCTCCATCTAAACCACCTTGTTTCTGTAATCCTCACATAACAACAGTCTCAGTTCCTGACATTTTCAATGGATGGGGAGAGACAGACACAGAGGGAGAGACAGACACAGAGGGAGAGACAG